GTCTCTCCTACACCACACAGTGACACACACAGCCTACGGAATCTATGAATAGATACTTCATTTCCCAGTGTGAGCACTTAAGAAATTAATTGCATAGTTTAATTACTACAATAAATAGGATAATGCCACGGTGTCCAGTACAATCAGGATTTTGAACGTTATTATAGCTATAAAAAAGTTGGAGTGGTAACAGTGTGTGGTACTGCATGTGGAAATTAATAGAAGAGGAAAATGTTAATATTTCTTTTGATGTTCCTCTGAAAGTATGGGCTCGTTATGGGTCAGTTTCTGCTTTTCAGCAATAAATTTGTTTGTCTCAGAAGCAGCTTTCCTCTTCTTAATAGAGAGCCCTGCTGGAAGCCCAAGCAGAATAAAACAGGCATCCTTTTGGGATATCATTAGTAAGATTAACAACAAAATAACACTGTTTACAGGGGACCAACACTGGCACATTAATAACTTGAACATGCCATTTCACATGATCTGGAGGGGAGGGGAAAAAATAACCCTGAAAAAGATTCCCTGTCCTATTCGCAGTAACCATTCCTGGGACGTGGCAATTTAAACTAATGACTGCTGTCTTGTGCTTCCATAACACCCACCAACAGTGTGTGCTCGAACATTCGTCACCTCTTCAGGTTAACAAATATTTAGGCTATTGGCTAGTTTTCATTACCAAAGATTCAAACCGCATACAATTTTCACTTTGTTAGGGTACGTTCAGTCTAGGCTCATTCCTGCGTTCCATCTGTGCTATTTCTTTTTTTATTCTTTTTTTAGTCTATGTATAGTCTCTTCAAGGCCAGTCAGTTCACTCAACTAAAACGGTATCATAAAAAAGCTGTTTCTCTATCTCAAATCATGTTATGTTGAAAACCTGCATGTGAATACCGTCACAGCATGAGCTGAGATCTGAGTGAATTTAAAGATCAAGGACTCGACAGCATTAGTGTCCACAGTGATGGCATTACACAATAAGACAAACTCCTTGCTGGTTGGCTTCTTAAAGATTTACAGTCAGGGTTTAGTGGCTGCGAGCCCTGCCCTTCTGTTCGGGCTTCCTCTGTGCGATATTCATTCTCAGAATCAGGGGACAGATGAGGACTATTTCATTAAGCCCCTTCCCGTCTCCTCTCGCCATAAACTGCCATGAAGTAACGTTGCTTGTCATAAAAAAGAAAGAAGATGCGCTTTGCAAAATACCAAATCATCAGCTGTAATGCCAAGGTGTCAGCGTTACTGTCAGCCATTTGTTGGAGGGCACCATTTCCATGTGAGATTTATAGATAAGGCGTATCAATATTTCATTGCTGTAGCTGTGATGCTCGGATGATACAATGTGTATTGAGATTTATTTCGGAGCAGGACGCCCCAGTGTAGCATAAGGCATTTGAGATTTAAATAATCTCCACCAACAAAGGCAAACAAACCATATAACAAAAGACAAGGTCACCCGTGAACAACCATTAAGTGGTTTACAATAGAATTATTGCTTCTTTATCTTGCGCGAGTATTTGAATTACACAAGAGAGTTAATGCATGAATGAACGGACGGACAGTATGTATGCATCCATTAAATGTGTATGAATAAGACGCAGAGGAGGACGAGTGTCTGAGCGCTAGAGAGAGAGAGAGAGATGATGAGGTACCTAAAGAGGTTTATGCATGAAAGCTATGGTCCATCACTTGACATATGTACAACAATAATTGACAGGAAAGTGGGAAACTTTCATTAAACTTCAATTAGACTGGAGTTCATTGCATTCATCCTGTACAAAAAGTTTGATGGGGAGAAGGAAGCAGAACAGGGTACAGCCAGATTACGTCTTTTAATTTGGTATGTAATGAGTTTGAGGCTCAGGAGACCCTTAAAATAAAGACGTTACAGATACCCAAACTATCCCCTCTCCAATTCTACCTTATTAACTTTAGAAGGTAAAATGTAGTTCTTCCAATAATGTCTCTTCACAATGAAAACATGCCTCTCGTTGGACAACCATCAACAGATGATTAACTTTAAAACATGTACTAAAAAACACTACATCCTCACTGAAGCGCATTGAGGGTTATTGATCTCCACATACAATAATAACCCCTAAACAAGCAAGCTACTTGTATTAGCATTAAACTGACAGACCTTACTGCAATTTTGAGGCTTTTCTATTTAGTTAATGGAAAGTGAAATCTTCTCCGTT